CCTTTGTAGGTAGTTTTTTTTTATTTCTTAATATAGAAATAAAAATTTTTAATAATAAAGAACATTTGAATTATGTCCTCACAAATAATTTAGGGACCCATCTTTAGCTATAGATTCCTACCAGTAAAGATGGGTCCCTAAAGTATTTAGCATATAAAATTTACGTTCCTTTACATTCACGTCCCCTAGAGGACATAATTCCTAGCTCATTATTTCAATAGGGACATAATTCCAGAAATAATTTGTATAGATGCTTAAAACTATAAAAAACCTTTGTAGGTGGTTTTTTTTTATTTCTTAATATAAAAATAAAAATTTTTAATAATAAGGGACATTTAAATTATGTTCTTACAAATAATTTAGGAACCTATCTTTAGCCATAGGTAATGATAAAGAATATAGTATCTTTTTTGAGAAATCAGGTAAAAAGTATTGAACAGATTATTTGGATATTTTAATCAATCCTGAAAGATATACAGTACACTCCAAATAACAACCACCAGGATCTAGATTAGGTTAGATAGTTTAAAACTAGTAGATTCCACCTGATATGTGGATCCACTTCCTGGGTGGATAAATCGATATAACTGGATAAAACTATAAGTGGAAGTGTAGGTTAATTAAATGGATCTTGTAGTTATATAATTGGATATGAATTATTTAATAAAGTTTATATACTATTAGTACTTTTTACCTAAAAAAAAAAATAATTATTATTTATAAAAAAATTGAAATATTTACTAGAGAATATATATCTTACATTGTCAGTCCCTTTGCCATATGATACATAAGCAAAAAAGTGTAATATGATAAGTAATCTTAAAAAACAGTTAGTAGTATCTATTATCCTTTCACAAAAAATGAATTGATAGATTAGATAGTTTAAAACTAGTAGTAGGATTTCCATCCTCTAAATAAGTTCCTCTCAAAAAATATAAATCCACTTCATGAGTGTTACTAATATTGTTGAAGCAATAAGTAAATTAAAGTAGTATTTAGCTATAGTTTAGTATTACAGATGATATTTGATATAATTGTGATATTATATATATATCAATAAAGTGATTGACATCTAATACTTATTCTATTATAAAAATAAAAATAATAATAATAATAATAATAATAATTATTTATAAAAATTATTGTATTTTTTTTTTATTTTTATTAAAGAATATTATTATATTATTTTTAAATATATTAACTAAAAGAATCAGAATTTCATTTTATAAAATAAATATTATATTTTTAAAATCAAAAGATTTAATACTTGTAAAAGAAAGATTATTAATTACAATTTATTTTATAAACAATTGTCAAAAATTTTCTACATTATATGTCTAAAAATAAAGTAATATTTTTTAATTTGAAATTAAATAAAATATTTAATATAACTTATTAAAATTAATTTATTTTGTATTGTTTCTTCTAATATTAATTGTTGATTGTTTTTTTCAATTTACAAAAAATATTTATTTTTAAGATATTTAGTCATATCAGTAATACTGTTTTTATTTAATTGAATAAATTAATTACAATAATTATATTGAAGTTTTTATATATTTTCATTATAAGTAAAATGGATCCAGATTCAATTTTGATATTTTTTAGAACTGTTATTTATTGAAGTACTGGTTATTTCAGTATTTAAAATTTCATTATTATCAAAACTATTTTGAAGTTTTTTATGTTTAAAATTTATAAAAGTGGTTTTTTTTGGAAATTTAATATAAGTATCGAATTTTTTTAAAAAGTATTGAAACCAATTAATACATTACCAAAAATTTTGGTTTGATATTTAAACTTAAAAATTAATACTAATACCAATTGGAACTCAAAAAAAACTAAAAAAAGTTTACATATTAAATCTCTAAAAAAAAAAATAAGTATTTTTTTTAACAAATTAGTTCTTGTCTTTAATTTTATAAATAAGTTTTTTTTATATTTACTTGAAAAATACAGAAAATTTATTAAAAAAAAAAAAGAAGAAAACAAGTAAAAAAAGATTAAAGTTTTTAGATAATAATGTTATTAAGAAAGTATATATATAGTCTTTATTACAAAGAATTAATAAAAAATTTTGAAAGTTTTGTTCTTTTAAATTAACCTACATGTGTTATTATTCTTTTTTTTTTTTGTATTTAAGATAACATAATTTCATTAATAATACCATATATCATGAACATATTTACCGTATATTCAATTATTAATTTCTAGTTTTTTTTTAGTGAAAACATTTTTGATTAAAGCATTGAAAATGAAATTTATTTGAAAAAAAAAATAAAATATTGTATATAGAGCCTACATGGTAAAGGGCAAAAGTATTCACTACGAGTAAATAGGTTATTGCGATTTTAAATTAATTATATTGTTTGTGAAAAAATAAAACCCTACATACACCCTATACCTTTTTTTTTTTTTCGGCATTATGCCGTTGTCAGATTTCTTTGCCAGGATAACTATTCTTATTTTTATCAACAGTGGCTGTCTTGAGGAGGATGGATACATACTTTGAGTGATTATTATGGTAGTGTTAACAAAGTTTGCCTCGAGTTCTGTGCTGTGAACGCATTGATATTAATCAGAGGCTTAAGCACATTGCTCCAATAAGATGATCGGCAAATATAAATATAAGGTTGCTAAGCCCCATATTATAATCATTTTCTTAAAGACTCTTTAAATAACACGATGCATTATTTATCTTCAAAGTTAAGAGATCGGAAATTTATCATTTCTGACAGATTCGATTAAAAAAAAGAAAACGGGGAGAAAACCGATTGCACGAGACCATGATTTTTTGCAAAATCATATGACACGAATGAAAGGTTTATAATAATTACGTAATTTTTGATATTTTTTAAAAATTAAAAAAATCGTTTTCTCGAGGCGCATGGGACTCGAACCCACAATCCCCAGATCCGAAGTCTGATGCCTTATCCATTAGGCCAACGCCCCTAGCGATATCTAGTTTTTTTAAAATTTTTAATTCTTTTATAATGTACACACCGAAGTTAAGTACTACGCGCCATTTTTCTGTAAAAATCTACTCCTGAATATAGATAGATTGTCTTTCCAACAATGCTTCCTTTTTTTTTTAGCGATATTGTTCCTATACGTGATTTTACTGAATAATAATATGATGTTTTTTTTAAAATAATAACATGATTTCGAAAACTTCAGTATACATGTAGTGTAACTAAATAGTACACTTTAACAAAATTACTTTATAATGGATCTATGCAATAGGAGGTAATGATAAGAAAAAAAAAAAACAAGTGATGATAATCGGAGAAATCATTTAATTATTCCGAATTTATGTTTTCTTCCGTGATACAAATGTGTAAATGGTCAAATGATGATGTCATTGGCGTTAAACGTAACGCTAAATTATAAATTAATTAATCGTTAACCGACCTTGTTCTTGTGATCTTTTCTCAGGTCGATGTTGATCATTTATTTATACAATCTAACTCTATACAAAACTGAAGAAAAGATGAATGTCTTTGATATGTGGTACAGGATGCCTCGAGTATATGGTGAACAAAGAGTACCCTGATGGTGAAGAGGGAACCTTTTTAACCAAAAGATTTTATCGACGCGTTCTCACTCTCCCTACAAACCAAAATTCCGACTTTCTCCTTCGTCTTATTGTTCCATCGGCGCCTTCCAACCATTCTTCAATTAATGTGGTTCAGAAAGGCAGTGAGGTTGAGGGAAACGGTGATAATAAAGATTGTGATTAGGTTTTTTTTAATAAATTTATAAACAAAATCATAGAAGTCACGCCAGACTAAGAGCGAGGAAGTGAATGAATGGATGGATGAATAAATAATGAGTGAGGATATATCTACTACCTAAGATACACAGTAAAGTTTGGTTCAAGATGAATACAACGAATGTGTGTGTGTGTGTATACGATAGAAGATCAAATACTGTTTTAAATAATACAATTAATTAAAATTTTAACATAAAGTACAAAAAAGAAAACGACTTCCGTCTATGCGAATGTTCAGGGGTCAAAGGAGGCGACAATCTAAATCCTTCACAATATGACGCAGCCGCTGATTTGGTCAATCGTGGAACCATTCGCTTTTGCATGAATGCTTACACGCGCGGCTTGTTCGAATGCTTCTCGAACACCTGAAATAAACGAACGATGTTAATGAACCGAAAGAAGAGAAGTGAACAAAACTTCAGAATCAAGTTTACCTCGATTATGTTTTGCCGAACATTCCAAATATCTGGATGCCCGAATGCTTCGAGCAACCGCGAGACCCTACGAAAGGAAAGTTAACAATCATCTATGATACTGAAATTTTGTTTTTGAGAACAATGGTTTAATAATCAATTACCTCCTCATAAGTTACAGGTCTTTCCCCCTGTCTTTGCATGTTTCTCACTGCTATGATATCTTCCCTCAGATCACATTTAAGGGCGACCACAACAATCTTTACGCCCGGACAATATTCAAGTAATTCGTTCGTCCATTTTGACCCTATGTTATCTAGAGAGTCTCGATTATCCACCGCGAAGCAAAGCATTATGACATGTGTATCCGGATAAGATAGTGTACGCAGGCGATCAAATTCTTCCTGACCTGTTCATTTAAAAAATTGTAGATTCTATTAACAAAAAATAAATGTACGTCCAATAATGCAAGAATCTTTCGTTGAATCTACCTGCGGTATCCCAGAGTGATAGTTCTATTTGTTGGTTATCAATCCATATATCATGTACATAATTTTCAAACACCGTTGGCTCGTAGACCTTTGGGGAAGGAAAGGAATAACAAGGTTAACGAGATGAAAGTTTTTTACTTAATGAGTAAGCAGCATCGAGAGAGGCAACGAGGGGAAAAAAACAAAACTCTTACTGTCTTTCACTTTCGACTATAATAATAACAAAAATAGAAAACAATAACGAACCTGTGGGAAGTAACCCTTAGTGAATACGCTTAGGAGAGAAGTCTTTCCGCAAGCACCATCTCCTAGCACTAACAGCTTACGTTGGATAGCTTTATTTTTACGAAAGAGAGGAAGACAAAACATTTCCGTCTGATATTACTTGTTGTATTTTGAAAGTGTTGGAATAATAAATAATAAAAAACGTTCAAGATCTTTTTTTGCGAAAAATTTAGTATCGATAAAATAACGGTTGTATATCGTTCTATTTATATACCTTTATATACCTTCATCAGACATATCTCTTTGTATAAAAATTAAATCAAATAACGTAAGCATTATTACGTATTACAAAGTACAAACATCGAAAATTATATCCCTTTGCGTAACAGTGTGATCGGAGTTAAGTGTAAAGATACCATAAATCTATAGTTCAGCGGAGTGCAAGAGAATCCTAGCCTAAGGGTATCGCTTAAATCTTCACAATGCCTCGGAGAAGAAACACGCTCTCGTGTTCAAGATGCGATGCAATGCATGTCACTATTTATTCTTTTAAAAGTTTTTATAGTACTAAATCCAGGGAAATGTTGCGGATTGTGAAAAGGAATATATTTTTGACTAGTTTAAATGTTTTTCACGGAGCCACGAGACTTCTATTCGATACGTAATTTATTATGGCTAAACTTACACAAGTAAATAAAACCAATGGAAAAAAACTTGTATTATAAATTAAAAGAATGTTCTCTCGGTGCATCGTTGAATGCATTTTTGAGAGTTGAATATCTTAAAAATAAATGGATGTTCAGCTGTTTAACGAATGAGACTTGTGTGAACAGTTCGATAACATCTGTCTGTGTTGATGGTCTATAAAAATATACACATAATCAATCAATGGCTGGGTCTTTTTATGCGCATACACATTGAACATTGAGACTGCGTTGCACTTAAAAACCAAATACGTTGTATGTAGGCATTCAAAACTCGGAACCCAAATACACAATTTATGATCGCATACCTGATTCGTGTTCAATTTGATCCGCAAAAAAATGCCGAACTTCCCATACGCTCCGATTGACATGCGTACAGGAGTTTGTGGCAAGGTTTTTTTCGGGTTGCCTACATATTTTTCGGGATATCGCTTGCACTGATTTACTGCATTTCGCTAATTTCCCGGGAGAAAATCCTGTGCCTACAGTTGATGAGGTGATCGCTGAAACAATCGAGGAGAAAAGGAAATCTGATACTAAAAAAAAATACCAGCCAGAGAACTTGCACGATCATAATCCTATTTACACTCATCATAGGCATACTCATGAAAAGGTATTTCTTACATAAAGACGACGAACATGGAGATTCGATTGTACTAAATATAAAAACTATGGACTGGCTAAATTTATACGTTTTATAAAAAAATTTTTTTAAATAGTTCCATTTCTTTTAAAATAGTTCACCTGTAAATATAATCATATAATTATCTCATCTTTGTTTTTTTTTTTTTCCTTTTTTTTTTAATTCCAACCCCGATTATTACTAAACGGGATCATTGAATGCAGACACTGTATAAATTTATCCATTCGAATTGCCAAAAACAAAACAATATATTTTATTTTATTTATTTATTTATTCAGTTGTTGGCTTTTATTTGTTTATCAAATGTTTATACATCATTTTATATGGAAAACTAATGTATGATGATTTTATTTATACTATATGTACCATTATCTATTCTACCAAATACAGTACATATGGTTTATACAATAATATAAAATAAAAAGAGTCTAAATTTTACACAGTATTTTTTGTATCTACAATTAAACTTTCTATAATTATATTATATAAGAATCCTTATTATAATCGTATATTTTTTAGACTATTTATTAATAGTATATATATATATATATATATATATATTGAGGTTAAATGCACTACATGCACGGTTTTTATTAATTATTTGAAGATTACATAAAAAATATATTTTTTATAATTATTATAATAAAATTTATTTTAATTTCGTTTATATATTATAATTATAATTAGACCTAATTGTATTATAAAATAATTTAATAAACAAATTATAATTTATATTTAAATTTAATTATATTATTAAAAATTGTTTATTTATTTATTTATTTTATTATAAAATTAAAATTTTTTAAATCTTTTTATTTATTTTTTTATTTAAAAACTTTTTTTGTAATTATATATATACTGCATATATATATATATTTATTTATTTTATTTTATTTGCAATATATTAAGTTTAAAATATATTGATATTATAATATATCAAAATAAAACTTAAAATCTAGAGATTATAATAATAGGAATTTTATATAAAAATGTTTTTTGAAATTTTTTAAAATTAAATTTTGAATTCGATTTTTTTGAGTATTAAAAATCAATTATAAATAAAAATTTTATTTAAAATTTTTTCATTTAATATATAAATTTTTTCTTTAAAAAAAATTTTTTTTAATAATTTTTAATTTTAATTTTTGAATTTTAAAGCTTTTTTTTTTTATATCAAATATCAAATATAAATTCTATAACTTTAAAACTTAAATAAATAAATTTAAAAATTAATTAATAATAAATATTATATTATATTTTTTTAATAAAATTTTTTCTTTATATTTTATTTATAATTAATCAATATATTAAAATTTTTAAAAAAAAAAAAAAAACTCTTTCTCAATCGCATCAAAATTACCAAATTAGGAAACACTCAAGAAAACAAAAATTTCGTCTCAA